TTAAACGTTGTGACTTTGAAAGTGAATAATGGTCATTCACTTGAACAAGCTTGGGGCTTTCACCCAAGACAAGAGGCCCATACAGTCTGTTTTGCTCATTTGGATATTTCAGCTTTAATTTAAAATATTCTTGTTACATTTTCCCCCTAAGATGAGAAATTTCAACCTTAAAACTAAATTTTGACAGAATACCTGCATCCCAGAAGAAAAAAACAATTATTTAAAAAATTATATCTCTATTTCCCATATCAACTCTATATACTGCTAACCCTTAAATAACAAAAAAATAAGTCCTTTTCACCCAACAATATCTGAAAAAAAAATTAGGTCAAAATACTTTTATTGCAACAGATGAGGGATTTCAAAGATTACGTCTATTATACCAAATTAGACCATACCCTGATCAGCCCTCAGGAAGGAGAGATTCACCAATTACATAAAATTGAAATTCTTCACTCAAGCTTGCTACAGACAAAATTTGGACGGAATCTTGGCATTCCTACAGAAGGACTGTAAGGAAATAGTTGTATTTCCTCTATTGGGCCCCATCCCTCAAATCCAGGATACAAAGACCCACTACTGATACAACACAGATTCCACTTCATCCAAGGATAATTCAGACCAAATCTCTACAGAATCCTGCCATTCCTATAGAAGAAGGATTTCAAACAATTTGCCTGCCAGGAGGGACTGAGGTCCACCATTTATACATAAATGATTCCCTCTCTCCGAAGAATGCTTCAGAATGAATTGGAACAACCACTCCCAACTGATTTGATTTCATAATATGGGCAGACTTCCAAAAGATACAGTTAACTCCTAAATATTTCCTTTCCAACTGATCATTTTTTTTTCTAAAATGAGGAAAAAAGGGCCCATTCCTAAATGAGTGGAAAAAAACCCTGATTTACTCTCTTAAACACCTCTTCTCCTTAGGCCCCATGGGGCTGACATCCACCATTTACACTAAAGTTGTTCCACCCTCTCACAAGGATGCTGCTGATTAAATTTGGTCTACATCCTCTGAGTCGTTGATGACTAGTAATGATTTTTAGAAAAAGGTTGATGGGCAGACAACACCATGGAATAAGCTTGCCGTCCTTCAGACCAGGTGAGTTATATACAAATATGATGACTTTTGAAGTTGTTTTGATACTTAAACCTTGAAAATGGGTGAAGGTCATTCATTTGAACAAACTTGTGTAGCTAATATTTTGGTATCATCATTTGCACTATGCACCAATTAAAAACACCAAAACACCAAGCAACACTTGCAAAATGTATTTTTTATTACTGAGTATCCTCTTTGTACATAACAGATATGTAAAGGCTGCTGGAATGATAAATCTTTAGAATTACATACCAGACTGGAGAACAAAGATATAAAATATTTACAGATAAATTTCAATGCATATTACATACCACTTAAAACATTCATCAACAAACTAATATACAAAATTATGTAAAAATCCTGCACACCAGGTCTGGCAAAGCATCAATATCCAATTTCCTTAATATCATTTATGTTTCATTTCATTATACATGTATTACTAAGAGTAAGATGCCTTATATCTCAACTTCTACACCAATCTCTTGTTCAAAAAGTCTTTAACCCAGAAGACGACAACAGTATTTCTATATCTCTGAGGAAGCATCTCAATCTCCTATAATGTCTACCCTTAGAGTGATCAACAGCATTAAATCTATAATAGGAAGGAGTAATGAAAAACACCAAGCCACCACTGAGCAGCCCCATGGTCTCTAGCCAGACACTCTTCCGCTTGAATAACAGGAAATTCCCACTAGCTGAGGCAAGTAAGGTGACCTGTACTCTCAATTTCTACACTATAAAAAAGATTACACTGAAACCAGCAAATTTGCTACCATAAATGAACACAAGCAAATCTAGTGGTTGATTGTTGAAGTCTGAAGTTGAAGTTGAGTACATTTATAACCTATTGCAGTCTCCGAACTTATCCTGGCTAGGAACATTCTTAACAGCAACTCAGAATATGTAAAGGGGAATAACTCTGATATTGGATTTTCAACTACATGTATATATTAGTATTTAAATAGGTGTGAATCAATCCAACAGACTGGAGGCGGGTTCTTCAAAGATTTATTATAGGTAGTCGGTCTACCGGTTTCGCCCTTCTAATTGGGCTTCATCAGGACCAATTAGTATTTAAGTTACATTATATTGATCTCATTACCTTTCACGACACAATCTGGGCAACTATTTCTATTCCTTTCAAAAAATTTAGGGAAGTATCCCATGGTAACAAACATTCAAGTATAGCCACCAACAATCTAGAAAAATATCCTTTAGTTATCAAAATTCCAGTGCAGTGTCCATCAGTCACCAATAATCTTGTTAGGTAACAATCAGCCCCCAACAATCTAAGAAAATATACGTCAGTCACCAACAATCAAGGAGAGTATCTATCAGTCACTAACCATTTAGGAAAGTGTTAACCAGTCATCAACAATCTAGGAAAACATCCACCATTAGCCAGTAAAATTAACTTTATTTTTTATACATTGCTCATTTTGAGATGGCATGCAACTGATTTAGTAACTTTTCTTGACAATAACATGAAATGGTAACTGATCTTCACTGATAGGCTTGATGTTTAGAAAGTTCCCAATTAAGCCACAAGAAACAGATGTCTTTTATGTGACATAAAAATTACTATCCTACTAAGATAGCATGAATCCTATATATAGTCAAAATACATTCATATAGGGTCCGCTTAAAGGCCAAAAGGCAGTAATAGTGGATGTAAAACCTGTTAAATAGATTTTACATATACCCTTCTAATTATTATGAAGTAGCCAGTAATTCAGTCCTGCAGCTGCCAGTAGCTTTTGTCACCTTTCAGGTGAATAAAAAGCAACCATGAACAACAAGCCATTAAATCAGATATTAATAAAAAAAAAATACCTACAGCTATCAATCTCTGACCACAGCCAGTTAGAGCTCATATGCAAGTGAACTCAGGTGACCTGGTAATGATACCGAACAGATCATTGCCGTTAGCCAATCAAAACATGTCATACAAACAACACTTCGACTATGCAGTATGTAATAATGTATTTATTCAGATTGTCACTGACCCATTAACGTAATAAGAACTCAGAAAAAAATGGTATCATAAAAATTTTAACTAAGAAACATGGCTTATCTGTAGAAATAATGTGCACCACGAACACAAATAACTATAATGATATTATTTTGAAAATGTCAACATCAAAATGTTCTTTCCAGTGTAATGACGGTTTTACGTAATATCTCTAATCTTTGGACAAGCTAACTCAGGTGTCTCTGCAACATCACCAGAAACAGATATGCAGTCGCCAGGTATTGCATTTCCGAAGTACCCACCTTTCATTTCAGGAGAGAGATTTTGAGTTTGTATTCGGGAGTGGGATACTGGTCGGTCCTACGCTGAATAGTGTATTGAATAAGCCGTGTTGTATGAATAATGCTTTGTTGCAATTCATCGACTTAACGTAGTTATCGAGATATGACGCTTAAAAGGTCCGAAACTGATGCGCCCAGAATCGAATACTGGCACATAAAATGCCCGATTTATGTAGTTATATCAACTGTCCGCTGTCTTTTAGAATTTCAAACCCATCTATCCCAAATTACATTGAATCTGTGTGACTGAAAAAAAATATTGCACTCTAAATAACAATTATTTTAACAAAAGACATACGTGAATCTTTACCTGCAGTTTTGACAGTTGTTCGTCTGTTGTTTCCGTTTCGGTAGGCGTCCTTGACATTTTTACCGGAAGTAGTGTGCTAGTGAGTGATAGAAGAGTTCGGAGGCATTACAAATTGTTATCGAAACATCGACTCGCAATTAAAACAAAATGCTTATTGATGTTAAATTCTCTTAGTCGGATTGGCTTTTTTCAATTTGAAATATACTTTGCTGATATGGTTTTTATTTTTTTCCGCAAAATGATACTCGCTACTAACTCTACTTTAGTACACAAGATTTAGAGGCGGGAAAATTTGAATTGATTGGCGGTAAAGAGGGTCGGAAGACCTTATAAAATTACGGCTGACATTTCAATTCAAACGAAGATACACATTGTATTAATACTTGCAGGCAGTTGAGGCGCCTATATCCATACTTGCTTACATCGTAATATTTAAACCTTTCAGCACAGATCAATGTTACGAACTGTTATTGACATATCTACATACGTTTCAGGAATGTGAAAATTTACCAAAATTATACAGAGGCATCCGGACACTGATTTGACGGATTTTTTTTTTTTTTTACACGTTTCACTGTAGCATATGTTTTTTGTTGATATCATACGATTAACCGTTTAAGGAAATTTATTTATTTATGTTGCAGCATAACTAAAATCTAGAACTGGAAAGTGAATTTAACGGTCAGTCATGTTTTATCACCAAGGAATATTGCAGAAACATGGAAAATTTGGGATTGTTTGGTAGGTATTGCTTTAAATGTGACCACCTGTAACTGTTAATCATTTATTCAACTGACGGACAAGAACAAATGATAATAATGAACTGGTTATATTCACATGTTCTACATATCTGGAGAAATTATTCGTGTGTAGCTTATACTTTCTTGAAGCAATTCATATATATATACTATCATCTAAACCCAGAGCCGACTGTCAAATTGTAAATGGGTTGGCACTATCTGGATTCTTTAAGAATTTGCTGAAGTACAATAATTTGGGAATTTGATTCTTAGATTCAAAAATCTGTAGATTTTGCCATTGGGAGTGGGATCATCACTTATCCTCAAGTCCTGAAGGAGAAAAAGACTTGATAAAAACAGAGAAATTCCTAACTTGTGACATTCTCTAAAACCTGGCATGTGTGAATCTGATTTTTGAAAGCAGTCTAAAAGCAGGACTTACATGACCATTGGTAAATACGTAGCTTAGATATGGAGATACTATAAACAAAAATCTCGATGTTAAGGTAACATCAAGAGGAACTTAATGGAATATGAGGTTCTAAAAGAACAGAGAATGAAGGATCGGATGAAATCAATAAGGAAACTTAATATGTTGTGAGTGACTAAATTGGGTGCGCTATATTTAAGAGACTAGACCCAGCACTGTTGTCATTGATTCCTGTGGACTAAACTGAATGATGTTACAATGACAACATTGTTAGATAAAAACATTAATTCTACTTGACTAAAATTTTATGCACTAAATATTGAGAATTTTTTTTTTATTCCACAGGCTTGCTGCTACTAGGATTGAGCATTTAAAAAGAAGAGAGCTCAGTGAAGTTAACCTTCAAACGACCTGGTTTGTTTTCCTAACTTATTGAATTTGAAATGGATGTTACTATTTTGGTTTATGCAGTTTCTGGTTATATGCCCATTTTTAGTTAATATTTTTCTGTCTTTATCACTATATAAAATCTTCCAAACAGAAATATATTGATATTTTTTGCCTAAATATTGAAAATTACTATCAAATCAATTATTGGATTATTTTTTTTATTGATAAATGGTTCTAAAAGCTTGTGCATTTTTTGTCATATGATATATTCATAATATTCAGGTGTTTATAATATTAGGTGATAATTTAATGTAATACTAGCTTATATCACTGCCTGGTAAGCATATAATCTTGTGGGATCACTGAAGAACACTTAATATAGAAATCCATAGTTTAATGGTAAGAAGAAAAAGTTCCTTGGCAGTTCAAAATTTTTTTTAATTCCTCTTGAACTTCTTAAACTACAGTTAAATTTTAAATAAGATTGATACCTTCTTTGTAATACTACATTGTCTGCTTTCTAATTTTAGTGATGATATTATTGACCACATAATGGTACGGTTACATGCAACGACTCCAGGAAAAAAGAAAACACGCTTTTCATTGTATTTATCATCACAACTTATGTATGGTGTCACTCGGGTACTGAAGAGACAAAGCGAATTCCTTTTCAGTAGGTTGAATGACATGTTTAATTCTTACTGGTATTTTATGTGATTGTTTTCTTGATTTTGCCTTTATTAATTACGACTTAGTAATCATGAAAGTCAAAATAAATTTCACTAACTTCCAAAGGAAAAATTTACCATGATTTTTTATTCAGAAGGAACAGTATCAATGACTGCGGTAATGACATTTTTATGCCTAAATTTTGCTCTGCTTAGGTGATGTCTCCACTTTCTTCAATCGTGTTAGGATGGCCTTTGTCACTGACGTTGAAGGTGAAATAGATCTCAAAGGAATCTTGAGGTTTGTCCATGAAAATTAAACTTTGAAAAAGATTTATTTGTTTTTTATTTGAAAACTAGTTGTTTAGGTTGCCTATTCAATTAACAGGGTAATTGACATTGGAATTTCTTCAATAAAGTTCAGATGCCAATACATGAATTGAAATACCCTAAACTATGCTTAGATATGTGTACTAGGATGCTGAAATTTAGATGAAGGCAGGTTTTCAGGTGTATAATTGCACAGTTAGATCTTCAAAGGCTGCAATGACAATATGGATCTGAAGATTATTATTTTTTAAATGACATGTATGTCTTTTTTTATATATATATTTACTCGTTTGAAGTCAGATCAACAGAAAAATCTATAAGGAATACAATGAGAGACAATGCTGTATGTAAAGAAATATCAGAACATTGTGATATCAGTTTTATATTGAGATATTTATATAACTACATAAAATTATAAGCGTTTAGTTACTAACTTGGCCGTTGAAGTGAGGAAAATCATGCATTTCCAAGAGGCCATTCAATTTCCTTTATCTGTGGATGTTTAACAGGTGTGAGATGGTGACCATTCCTGATCTTGCAAACTTTGACTCTCCAGGCCGGCCTGGCTTTGATCCAGCATTTGGTTCGATGAGGATGAAGTCATCTGAGACTAAAATTACTTACCCAGAGCTGGTAAACTGAAATTTTATCATGTTCAAGAAATTAAAACAACAGCAACAAAGTGCATATTATTAAAAGAATGCATTCAATGCACCCTTTTTAACCATGGTATAGTGAATCTACTTCAATCTTTAACATGAATTAAGAATACTAGAATAACTTCATGATGACTTATGACTTTCATGCAATCTGATGATAAGAAATTGTTATTTACAAAAATTCTCATTTGAGCCTCCTATCTCATATTTTATCAGGAAATGTGGAAAGTAAATTCTAGTATCATTCCTGGATCTCCGTACCTCAGTCCTGTCCCAAAGAAACGAGGATCTTCATCAGTCTCTAAAGACGATAGTCACATGATACAACCTGGTAATAGTCTTTGACATATCAAAGGAGAGATATCACTTAAGCTTGGTTCTTTACTTAGTTATCATTAAAGACAGACCTTGACACATTCACCATACAACATAGTTGAGATGTTTATTCATTATGAACAGTATGTTGGAAAAACTAAAACATTTTTCAATCATGTGAAAGTTAATGGTGTAATGATAGGTTGGCTTATCAATGTATAGCAATAGCTTTGCTTTCGATAACAATAGATTGATAGTATATTTTCAAAACAATAACTATTGCTGAAAGTTAGTGGTGTAACGATAGGCCAGACGTATTCTTGATAGCAATAGATTGATAGCATAATATGTTTAACTATCAATTATTAATGCTAGGTTTTCTTTTACTAAACATACATGCTACTTGAAAGCAAGATTTTTGACTAGGACCAGGCATATCCTGCATTGATCTATGAAAGCTTCTTTGGGACATCAATCAGGGATAGCACTGAATACAAGAAGAGCACAATTTTGAATCACCTATGTGGAAATACTCACTCTAGAATGTAACTTAATGAGATTTTATATCTTAAATAAATGTTGTGTCGTTATTGTTTCCACTTTGATCTTGTTGAACCTACAAAATATATGTTTAAAAGAGGTGGTGACTTTTGAACTCCTCATCCATGTTTTAGATTCATCCTTGAAATGACCCAGTTGAATAAACAACATGTCACAAATATGTACTAATATCTTAAAAATCATTCCCAATAAAAAGGCACAAGCAAGGCTATGGAAACATAAATTAATGACAAAATCACTCAAAACCAATCACACAGAAAACTCTTGTTTATTATATAACATAGACATCATCATTTGGTAATTAGCTATGTTATCCTACCTTTACTAGGCCTACATATATATATATGTCTTTTTTGATACGACTCTGCCAAAAAACAATGTATGAAGTGTGTCAAAATTACTGTCAAAACAAAATAATTCACCTTTTAAAACCTTCAAAAAGTTAAGATAAAGAGGAAATTAATACTGACTTTATTGTAAAAAAGACTTACATGAAAATAATATTGAAATTATTGCATTATACAGTTGTAGCATGAGTTTCACCACAGATATCACAGAATAATATGTTTATATACAAAATAAATAAAATAAGAATATAACAAAGTGTAACTAATATCAAATACTTGATTGTATAAAAATATTAGTAGTTTTTTCAGCTATAACATTTGTTGAGAATTCTGACACATTTAATTGGTTCGTGATCTTTCTTTATTTTTAGATTAGAATAACATCTTTTAAAGGAAAAAAAGAGATATTGTAATAGTACTATGGCAATAGTTACTGGACAATCACAACAATTTAACAATAGTAATTTTACTATCACATTACCAGTCTGTCAACCGATTCCTATATTTTCCTATATTTTTCAGGAAATTTGTCGCCGATGAATGTAGAGATCGTAAATAGTTCTTTGATACTGCTTATAGCTTCTTTATTTTAGAGAATTCTTAAGTCTTTAACAGCATCACCAGCCACCAGAAAATGATTCAGTGCATCTCTTTATCACCTGTATGGGCACCTTACAAGGCAGTACAACAGGATATTGGCCTTTTAGGTGCTCATTCAAATGATGATGATGATAATGATGATAAGCTATGCAGAAGCTCTCTGCCTGGATTGTGATGCTGTTGAAGTGAATGGTTACTTTAAGGTAGTTTTTAATTATTGATTAATATAGAAGCAGTAAGTGAAGGTAAGGTTAATATAAATGCCTTTGAATGAAACAATTTTCGCTTAGAGAACTTGTATATATTTTGCTTGAAAACTAGCAAAAAACCCTCCTATGTTTGTTGAAAAACTATTCCTATATTCCTCCTATATTTTGAAGAAGATTTGCTTGACAACCTGCATAACTTTTTTCATCTTTTTTCTTTTCTTTTCACCATTTGTGAAAGTGATTCTGTACCAAATTCACATCTTTTTTTCTCCCCCATAGAAGTAGGAAGTCCACATACAGTTTCCAGTAGGGAAGAAATCACTATTCAAGAAGAGGAAATAAAAATTCCAGACATAGAGGTAAGCTGCATTCTGTGTTTTGCAACTTAAACAGAGGTTAGTCACCTTGGTGACTACTTATTATAGATCATTACTACTTTTTAACAATCATACTGTTCTGTGATGTATATTAAATAAAAACAAAAATTGTAGGGTGAAAGGGAAGAGATTTTTTCTTTCTTTTTCTTTTTTCTTTTCTTTAATTAAGCATAGATTAGAAAGGTTGAAAATCTTTCAGTTACTAATTTCTGGGTACAGTGAAACCCCTTGATATCAAGTTCCATTTGTCAGGGGAAAATGTGATAATATACGGAACGTGAGGTTAGCAGTTGACACAGGTTTTTTTTTTTTTTTTTCAGAAGTTTAAACCTGGAAGTTAATTTTCTGATGTGCCAAATTGATTTGTTTTTCTAACAGAAATTGTTTGAAGACAAGAAATTTGTGATTTGATTTATTTTTCCAATAAGAACCATGGTTTTCCTTAGCTTTTGTTTGTTTATCCTATGAAATATCTAAACTGTTGTAAATTATCGTGAACAATCATATTTCATATTCACATTTTACACATGGTCAAATTCATATATGACACTACAGTGTCATCAGCTGCTGTTTTGTTGCATGATTTATTCAACCATTATTGTATAGGCTTCATAATAGGAAATCTTCACAAAGTTGATAGATATATATATATACACTGTGTATCTCTCCAACTTAAAATGTGTTATGAGAATCACTACTCGAGCACTGCCAACAAAAATAGCTTACTGAGAGTGAACTGTTTACCTTTGAAACACCACATTTCATCAGTCATTACATTAGTGGATATTTTTATGTATATAGCCAATTAAATGTCTTGAAACTTTGCAAAGGGAAAACCCCATTTTCAGAACATTTTATTGTCGTCTGACCAGTACTCTTGATAATTTAGGTAATAATGTTTGAAGAAAGATTAAAATTACAATGGTCTGATATTATGACCAGTTGGATTATCAATCTTAATTCCATATGATACACTATTTACTCTGAAAAAATCATTCGAGAAAAATTATTATAATATCAAAAAAGACATAGCGCCCCCTGAGAAACTTTTCAGGGCATGCGTGTTATTTTTCTATGTTCAATTAGGTCTAATCAAGACTTCATTTCAAATAGGTAATTTTAGCTTCTTATGCTTTGCATCAGAAATGTATTCTCCTAAATTTAAAGTTGGCAACATTCATAATGATGACATTGACATGCTGTACAGAGTTTGGTGTCCTTTGGATCATTGTAAAAAGAAACAAAACAAACACCATGATTTATCGTAAAATATGATTCATGGTTGATCATTTTCTGACAAGGCTTTTGGAAAAACAATATTTTTTATTTTTGAAATTGATGCACCGGCTCATTTTCAAGAAGTTTCAGCAGCAATAACTGAACATGGTACAACGCCCACACCAACATTGGTTGCAATGTGAAAAGTTCCAAGTGCCATAGGGATTTAAACCCATTTTAACATTTGTAATGCATTAGCCAATTGAAAAAAACAACACACTAGACTTCCTTCAACCTAGCTAGAATTTACAGATAACTGGGACAATCTATTGTTTGGGAGTCACAAGTTGTGAAATGTTGGCCAGTAGGGCAGAGATGTTGTTTACATAACACATGAAGGTGTAACATGACCCTGCAAGCATGAATCCATAATTCATGTCCTCACTTACCTATGATTTACCTATGTTGTTTGGGGTGTTTTTTTGTGATAGTCATCAAAATGTGATATTAAGTGTTACCTATATGAAAATAAGTGATATTATTGGATGTTGGATAACATAGAACAGATAGGGGGAAAAAAATCAGTGTTTTAAGAAAATGTAATATTTACCAGATTAACAGATGAGACATTAAGTGGGTTCCAATGTATTACTGAAGACTGGTAATTTTGGCATATTGTACACACACTCATCCATTGAAAGGCCGAAGGCTGTGATAGTACAGTGAAACCTCACCTAACGACCACCTCAAAATTACGACCACCCCGCTATTACGGGTTTTTTTCCACTATATATCTTTGTATTGGTCGCTTCAGTATTACGACCACCCCGCTATTCCGTATTACGACCACTTCCTACAGTCCCAACGACCACTTATTAACGATAATTGACCTCACCATTACTACCATGGCCTGACCAGTGATTAAAGTTTACCTGGTGGGCAGTGAACCGCGGACATGTGGGTCGTTCACGACCATTATTTTCGTCACGGGTTACCGACCCTGTCACCAGGTGGCGTGAAACGAAGTAAACATCATTATCGGATTAACTTGGCCTACCCGTCCGAAACCGCGTGCTAGACACATTTTAATAGCGATCCGTTGTTTGTTAATTATATATTGATAGATCGGTAGGTTTATAAACACCTTAGAAGCCCTGCATACCCAAAAGTGAATTATGTAGTCGTTTCGGCCGATATTCCTTGGCTTGCACGCGCACACGTTGTCGAGGGTTTTTAACTGTTTTTCTAGTAATGTTTCACTCTCGATATCGTTTGAACAATAAAAAAAACGTATATGTGTTCCAATTTTTTTACGACACATTTCTCTGTCACAAAACTCCGATGAACTTTATCAAGCAATGACGAAACCACGGAAACGAAACGAGCTATCGCGATCGGTAAAAAGGACGTATGAAAGAGGAGGCTGTCCAGATCCGTAGCTCTTCGCAATATTGTGCTCCGGACTCTTTTTTTTAAGTAAAAAGAAAGATGTGTTGTACTGAGTGATACACTGAGAAAGATAATGTGTTTGCGAATTTAAGTGAAAAATGAAGCGTTGAAAGACTTTATAATGACTTCATTAAAGTTGTTGCAAATACTGAGTAAATGTGTTCGTAAATTTATGTGAAATAGTTGCAAAATTAACGTTAAATTCCAATTTAAAATAGATTGTTTCCTTTTATTCAATGTTTACAATAGTAAATATACATGTTTATTATGATATAAACTAAGGAATATATACATAATTATTCTTCTGTCAATTCAGCAATTTTGTCTTTTTTACATGCATTTCATAAAATTCAACATTTTAGTTTATTATTATTAGTTATTATTGTTGAATAATATACATGTACATTACTTAATGATATATATACTCTTTATTTTAAACAGAGTTACGGTTCTTTGTGGTTAAATCTGATCCACCTCACTATTAAGACCACCTCGCTATTAAGACCACTTTTGTCCAGTCCCCAAAGTGGTCTTAATAGCGAGGTTTCACTGTAGGCATAAAATCTGTTAAATAAATAAGGTACAATTTTGTATATTGTTCTGATATCAAATGGGGAAGTCATGGTTACAATATATATCTGTATACATTTTTTTTCTAGGTGCCTGGAGAGAAGGACTTACCCACATTTGATGGAAAGGAATTGGACATGATTCTTGAGGCGCCACCAGATCCAAACATCAACTGGATGGATGTTCTTTCCCCATTGGTACCAGAACCACCCAAGGATGCATCTGTTGAGCAGATGGCTCAGGACCAGTATGTACCATGTGTATACAATAAAATCTTAACTGCCATATACATGCACAGGAGTATGGCACAGAATCCTAATCCTATATTTTACTAAAAGAAGATACACTTTCCTGGTTAGGAATTTGTGTTCCAGTAAAATGTAGCAACTTGTATGATAAAATTTCTCTACCACATGCAGTTTTAAGTTTCAGTTAATATGATGGAGGGAAGTTGCACACATAATGGAATTAAATATAGTTTTAAAAGAAGTTTTATGACTTCAGGGTAACTTTATCACCAAGAGAGAAAACACCTATCTCTAGACCAGACGGAGACGTACCTCAGAGAAGAGATGCAGCTCTTTCTCCTGGGATGACACCTATTCCTAAGATGACACCAGTTCATGCCCAAAGGATGGCAAGTTTTTCAACATATTTGTTTGGGTTTCTCCTCCTCCTCCTCCTCCTCCTGTATAGAATGATTATCAGAATTAGTCTCCTATAATCGATATGATTACTTTTCACTTGATTACCAATTAAGGAATACACTCATATTCATGTAAGGTATACACTCATATTCATGTATCATATCTGTATGGCTTGTACATAGTTTTACATGCTCTGTCACTCAGCTGATAGATACATCAAAATTGGCTCAGTTGGTAAAGCTGTGGGTCACGTAGGTGACCTGGTTAGATTCTTTAAGCACTTGACAGCAATGCATTTTCCTGTTCTGTTACACATGTAACAGTTTGAACTATGTAGTTTTGATTTTATAGATATTTATATTAAATGCATCATTCATGATTTTTAATAATTAAGGAATCAGAATGCAATCATGTTTGTTATTCATAAATTATTTCTATATTTCTATATTCTTATATATCATATTGTCTACTGTTCAAGGACACTCTTTAACCAGTTGTGTTTAACATATCAGCAAACTTCTTTCACACTGTATACAGAGACCTAGTCTGACCATGCAGCTGACCCCTGTCACTCCCAGTCCTGTTCGTAGACGACGAAGGCAACATCTTTGTATTGACCGCAATACACAAATATCTAAGGATCAATTGAGGAATAACATGAAGACAGGGACTAACACCTGTCTCCCTTTGGTATGTCTGAATTACTGGTTCAAAATCCAGGTCCCCTCCTTCTGCTACTATGTAGTGGATTTTTTTAACCATTGGGATGGAGTTGCATGGGGTTCATTTAACCATAATGGGGAACTTTAGTTATATAAGCTTCACTATTTCATACTACACCTGGGACTTCTGTGTGTTGCTGACATTTTGGAACAGAAATATATTGAATTCATTCTGTATATCATGTTACAGCATGGTGAAGGTACAGTTTGAGATTGATAGAGAAAATTATAGTCCATTACATTGTGAAGGTAAAACTTGAAAATCAGATTGATAAAGAATATCATAGTTCATTACATGAATTCTGTGACTTTGAGGTTTTCCTTAAACTGCGAAAATTGGAAACCGTCAATAAAAAATGTGATGGAGATTCTTATACAGTAAAAGGTTTATAACAACATTTCATTTTTTGTTACCATGGCAACGTAGCCAAAAAATTTTTCTTTCCAGACTACAACTTCAAAACCGTTCCACTCACCGTTCCCCCCCACCTACCCACCCAACCCACCATGGTATATGGAAGCTGCTTTATAGTTTGTTTTCAATTGCTGTTTCTTCACTAATTTCTTTATCAGTTTGCTCAATACATAATAAAATTAAAAAAAAAAAAAATTAAAAAGATGCAGAAATATACACCCACCCTACTCACCTCTAAATTTCGGCAGGTCAGACCTATGTCTTCTTATTTGTGCATTTATATGATTGATCAGGGCAGTTAGATAAAAAGATTTGAAAACAAAAGTTAATTAATATGAAAATAGTGAAATGCTTCAGTTTACCATGGTCAGGGGATTTGTGGAATGAAAAGTATTGCTCAAATGAATGAAGGAATTGAAATATAACAGATTTGCAGGACTGCAATAACATTTTTACATGATTTGGAAGAAGATAATTTAATAAAAATCAAAATGTGAAAATTGATATAATGATATCATGTTTCAGGTTTTGCCGGATCCAAGAAATTCCACAGTGAAAGATTTGTTCAGTAGACCTGGTAAAAAAGGTACAGAGCTCCTCATAACAAGTTGAAGTAACATCAAAATGTTTTATGTTTTACTGGTCCTAAGGTAATCACTGGACACATGGTAACAGTAAAGCTGTTGTTTCAGTTTTGTAGAATTCTGAAAGGCGAATGTTGCAGTATATGCTGAAATTTTTCTGTTATCTTGTCCAGATGACTCAATGTTCAGTATGTTTAATTATGGTCACTAATCACAGGTTTTTATATAAAGAGCTTGACTGTCTTCAGCCCTTTCAGTGTTTTTCTTTTTTATTCTCAACTTGGTCAGATGCATCATAGAAAGGTGTACAATGGGATTTTTTTTTCAAAAATAGTGGTTGCCATGAAATCCTGTGCTTAAAGGAATCCTCCGAAACTTGTGAACCAATTGCTATTTGAACTGTACAGAAAAATGGAGGCATCCATATTAGGTAGATGTGCATGCATTTTTTTTTCCCAAAATGTGGTTGCTATGGTAACCTGGTCCTTGTAGACATGTTCATGGGTAATAGGACACATCACTACTGATCCTTTCAGAATATCAACTAGACTTTCGTCTAAACAGCATAGTGTCTCCCTAATGTAGTGAGGTAATCAACAGTTACCACAGGGAGACCTACTTCAAAATTATTCTGACTGTTTACTAATAAAAAGATACCAGATATAAAATTTTGTGAAAGCTTGCAATCTGACGTACATGTATTAGGTGTTAATATACCATTGCCATGGCAACACAATGAAGGTTTGTAATTGGTCAAAATTTATATCATTTGTTCGTCTGAAAACTGATACGTTGGGAAATGACAAATACTGTGGTTCACTAATGGGTAGGTGATGTACTTGTGCATGGAAGGTTTAATATTTTGAGGAAGACAAGGCCGAGTTGTTAGGTGTTGGTGGCTGAGTGGAGAGTAGTAGTCCTGGTGACTGATGAAGTCATAACACCACTACTATAAAGATATTGTTGAAATATCTTTAACATCTGTGACAATGCAGTATATATCCATTTATCTAAATCAATTTTATATCAAAATAACATCTTTTTGATACAAATTAACAACTGTAACTATTACTTATCTCATCTAAAATATTGCAGAGGAACAGTCTGGATTGGCAAGGATTTCTGTCGATGTACATGTATCTGTTAAAAGTATAACTTTCATAACGTGCAATTGCAATTTCTTTAAAAAAATTCCATTCCATTGACTTGTGAATTGTTCCCATTTCACGATAATTGCTAATTAAAGACTAATACTCTTTCATCTTTCTACTAAATTATGTTTTTCATTTTATTCATTATAGTTGACTCTAACACAAGTTTATAAAACAACATTTCAATAAAATCATTGACTCCTTCTAAAGGCAGTAGACAAGAGAATAAAGTCAAAAGCATGTACTCTGAAGGGTTTATGAATGTCCTTATGTTACTGACATGCTGAATGGGGACAAAACAGCATGCATATATTTACCTTATTCTTATTAGGATATTTAATTGACTCTCTTTCTTTCTTAGCTTTGAATCACCCTTCCATTTTGCCTTTGTGGAAGAGCAACACTAAGTATGGTATATCGGAGACAGACTCTGACCGTGGCATTCCTGTATGGAGCGTCCCTGACTTACATCTACCTGAGGAAGGCAAGTTATGCAGGATATAGAACTTAGTAAAGACTGTCGTTATGATATAAAGCTTCAATATTAAAATCACAATTTGTCTAATTGTATTGTAACCCTAGTAAAATACTCAGTTGCTTCTAACCAGCTTAAGTAGACTATATTTGTTTATGTAGGGGCAGTATTGAGAAAATGAAATAATGATGAGGGGAATAAATATAATTTTACAGTCATATCCAGCACAGTTTGATAAAATCACCCTTTACAGATGCTTAAGGAAATGTTAGGGTAGAGTTGTCCGTCCATGCAAACACACGTCATAAACTTTTATCTATTTAGAGATCACTTCTATCAGGTTTCAATCAATCTTTCTTTGACATCAGTTTGATTCAACAATTTTTAGAGGAGCAATTGCCCTTTGTTTTTGTTTTTTTTTCAGCTGTTTATTCTTGTCTATAGAACTTATGTTTAATATATAAGCCAGCTTCTCTGAAAGTTGGTAGGCTTGATAACTATGATGTGGAGTTGTTTCTCTTTTGAAACTTTTTTCGATTCATCAGTTTTTGGAGGAGTTATTGCCCTTTGTATTTTCAGCATTTTAGTCTTGTCTGGAAATAAATCTCTCAGTTTTAACAATTTAGAAATTGCAATAATAACATGACATCAAATAGTGGTTTGCTGAAAGTTAATTTGATTAAGAAATGCTTGTTATTGCTCCTCATTTTCTTCCAGTATTTCTACACTTTTATATTTGTATTCATTTTGTACAATAAGGTATATCTCCTTGTTGTTGTATGGGCGTACAATATTACACCTCATGGTCCTTTTGTTTATTCCAGTAGAACCACGTTCAAGAAAAAGACTCAGGATTTCAACATTACCAACAGAAAAACTTGCATCACCATCTCGAAATGTTGAAAAGGACATAACCATAGTAATTCTTTCATTCTAACATTCAAGTCTTGAAATAAGAAATAAATACCTTTTGAAACTTGAAATCTGCTGACAGTTATTATCATTTTACTTCTAAAAGAAGGTTTTTTAGTAAGTGATATGAATTAGAATGGGAAGGGTGATCAAACATTATTCACCTTAAGTTACAAAGCAAACATCAAGTTTGTGTTAAAGCTTAATTGAGGATATCTTAATAATAATGCCTTGTGTTTTCCTGTTTTTTTTGGACAAGGAACCAATAACAGACCAAGAGGTGGCACTAGATATGCCATCGATAGAGATGGTACGCGACCCCTCCATATCCATGGAGACTCCTCGTCATGGAGATGTGACCCCCGCCTCCCTGCACCGCAGTCGCAGCTTGGTATCAGATGTTGACAAGAGTAAGGACAGCTTTACTGAAGAGCCCAGTGCAAAGAGGAGGAGGTAAACACTGTCAGCTTGAGGTCAAGTCTACATTTACCTAAAGATTGTATCCTCTAGTATGCCCTGATAAAGTGCTGTCTTCCATCTATACTCAGGTTATGTTTGAAGTTAAGAGACCCAGCACTGATCATTTTCCAATGCTTTACTGCCCTTCTTTTGTGTGGGAAACCATAGGAGTCTGATATATAGTATTCTAAGTGCAGTCTTAATTACTATTTATTTGTGAAGCCTGGAAAACATTTCTCAATCTACATACGCAAATGACTTAAAAATCAGTTTAACTATTTTGATGGCTGTACCATCAACAATGTTTATAAACATAAGGTTGCTCTTAAAGTTACCTGCAATATCCATTTCTACATATCAGATAGTATGCATCATATTCAAGATAGAATTAGTGTTAATGGCTTAAAGTTTTCTTCCAAATATGAACAATTCCTTGTTGAGTTTCATAATCAAAAGTCAGATTTTGGTCCAATTCATTGTGGATATTGTCTCCTGCTCTAATGATTGAAGCTCTGTTGTTGTAAGACGAATCATTCTGCATTATCTGTAGACAACAGGTTTTACCACATAATTTACTGTTTGGAAGATTGGTCACATATACACTATATCAAATATTGAGTCCTTCTTGTCAATGATGTCAATCTAGATGTTAGATCATTTATAACAACCTGTTGTTTCATATTACACAAATGTCCTGTATCCCTTTCTAGTATAAAATGCACCAGCTTCATATCAATTCTATATTTAAGTTGATAGAATGTCAAAATAATTCAGAATTGTTTGATCAGTTGAGCGTACGACTAGTAAAGAAGTGGTCCCTGATTTGATTCCTTTAGCTGGTTGAGGCATTGAACCTTTATTATTATGACCTTTGTTATTTTTAAAGGTCGTCCTTAACTTTGGAATGAAAAGGTCGTGAAAATTTAAAGATATTCACAAGATCTTAAACACTTAATAAGATTTATTATACCAAACTGTAGGTAATTACTCTTACATGAATAAATTGTTGTGGTTGTTGGTCAGAGCTAGAAGATGGAAGGTACTCGGTCCTGGGTCAAGGAACAAAAGTCACACTGAATTATTTTGGGACAGGTTTAGAGATTTACTGTGTCTAAATTAGTCAAAACATGCTTTCTGTTTCCAATGAAAATTTCAAAAGTTCCACCAATTTTTTAGGTTAATTTACAAGGCTACATGTAATCATTCATTGTTTGCAGATCATCAATAAAGACAAGGTCAAAAGGTGGCACCTCCAGTGAAGATGATGTTGCTGACGTTACAGCTCGGGCACTGTCAGAAGTGAGTATCCCAACTACAGAAGATGTCAGTCTCGCAGGCAATCTGTCTGTAGTACAAGAGGAGGAGATCCATATCAGTCACATTCAGGATATACGACCAACAGAGGCAGAACCTCAGCCTACACCTAGCCGTGACCTCCTCATCAGGTCAGTAGGTTATCTCCCTTTGGATGACTCAGAATTATCACATTAATATTAGATATTTCAATTTTTATACAATAACAGTTATTACACAAATGACAGTAGAATTTCTTTTATACTGCTTAATCCTCAACAGAACCATTGGTCGGCTTGATGGACAGGAGACACCAACTATCTTTCAGCATATTTGTCCACCACTTACTTCCTCACGACATATGGCTGCAAAAATGTTCTCCACTTTACTGGGTAAGAAAGACCTTTTCTTGTTAGTACACCAGATGCTCTCATAATAATGCTACATATGTAGAAAATGAAATATAAATTTATAAACTTAATTTATAGGTACAAAGCTAAAACAGAATAGATACTGAAGTAATCCCAAAGCAAAATTAATTCATTGACATTGAACTAATTTCACTTTAATTTCCACTTCAGTGTTTATTTATGTAAATCAGATGTATCCCAGCTAAAAAGTTCTTGTTTATCTTACAGATTTGTGTGCTGAAAACAAGTTGGAAGTGGAACAACCTCATCCATATGGTGATATCTACATTTCTAAGGGAGATAACTGGTAGCACCACAATGTATTTACTTGTGTTTGGAATTTAGTTACACTGTAGTGTAGGCACACAGAACCATGAACGCCTTTGTATTGAAACAGTTCTTATACAGATATATTTAAGAAGCAGTATGGTGTCTGATTCCTTGACTTGACTTCGCCTTTTTTAAATAATGATTTAATTTTGAGGATATTTCAGATCATGAAATGAAAGTTTAACTGCAATTCAAATGCAAATAATAAAATCCACAGTGAATTGGTTCAATGTCATAATGAAATTTTGCATGTACAAACACACATATTGACAATTCAGAAATTTTCAACAAGTTCAAAAATGCTTTCGATAGCAAGTTTTATTCTATTGACATTTGAAGTTTAGACATTTTTGCAGTAGTTTGAGAAAATAGCCTTCTAATGAGTATCATAATGTTATTAGAGTTAGGTATAGCTTCACATATACCTGTGCAATTAACTGTAGGGATCACTATAGTATTTTATTCTTGTTTCTTTATGAAAGTTATTATCAATTCATTTCTGAAAGTTAAAGCTAAAGTTATTGTTTATTTATTTCTAAATGTTATCAGTATCAATTATCTGTGAAAATGAAAGCTGAAGGTATTGTTTATTTATTTGTAAATGTTATCAGTATCAATTATCTATAAAAATGAAAGCTGAAGGTATTGTTTATTTATTTGTAAATGTTATCAGTATCAATTATCTGTAAAAATGAAAGCTGAAGGTATTATTTATTTATTTCCAAATGCTATCAGTATCAATTATCCTTAAAAGTGAAAGCTGAAGGTATTGTTTATTTATTTCTAAATGTTATCAGTATCAATTATCTGTAAAAATGAAAGCTGAAGGTATTGTTTATTTATTTGTATAAGTTATCATTATTGATTCATCTGTTAAAGTGGAAGCTAAAGTATTTTATAGTTTATTTATGAAAGTTTTAAATTTGTTGATGTTTGAGTGTTTTAATTGTTAAAAGTTACTATTATTTCTCAATCTATGAAAATAATTGTTTTAATAGTAAAGATATGTTTTTTTAAAAAAGTTTCAAATTTCTTAATCGCAAGAAGAGATAAAATTGATACAGTATATTGTATGGTGATGTTAATTTAGATGACTAGTGGGAAAAAATTCAGTAAGTAATTCCAAATTCTTGACACATTAGAATTTGTGAAGAAATACATAAGTATTAAGAGTCTTTATGTTTTCATGTTCAGCAATCAAAATTCAGTATAAAAGTCAAATTGTGGTGAAATCTCACTGCACATCAGACATGTAAGATTATTATTCCGTCTCAGAGCTTACATACGAGTCTTTGATATTTTTACCCCCATCCAACAAAGTTGGTTTGTACACTTGTTACCTTAATCCCTTGCCAAAGTTTGAATAACGGTGAATTCTGTGCATATTTAATAAGGCTGCTGTGACCTGATTGGCTGATTTCTTAATCACTCTCGCATGCTGCTTTCTGCATGATATCCTTTGAAGGACTGATAAGATTTTGAAGAAACTTGGTTGGTACACTTGTTGCTTTAAGTTTCGATTACTGGCAAAGTCTGCACATACCGGTATTTAATGAGGCTGTTGGTTACTTGATTGGCTGATTTCTTTAAGCATTTTATGGGAAATCTGTCTGCACATTATCTTATGAAAGAATGATAAAATTTTTAGGAAATTTGCTTTGTAGACTTATTACCTTAAGTCCTTGTTCAGGTTCAAATATCAGCAATATTTAATGAGACTGCTGTGACCTGATTGGCTGATATCTTTCAGCACTGGCACTCTTAACTAAATGCTTTCTGCATGTTATCTTTTGAGGGATCAGATGAATTATGATGAAACTTGCTTAGTAGACTTGTTACTTTAATCCCTTGTTCAAGTTTGATTATTGACAAATTCTGTGCATATTTAATCAGGTTGATAGCTTTTCCAGTAATCCATGTTGCTCAATTCAAATGTATATATTTTACAAATAAACAAGGCAGCGTATCTTGATGACTATGCCCTTGTTACATACTGTTTACATGTTTGTTTATTTTTTATCTAATATGTTATATGATTGTTTTAACCAAGGGAATGAATCATGATACATAAATATGAGGTATTTTTTACACAGTTTTCTGTTCTGCATTAGGTTGATATTGCTATTATTATTTTGGTTATGATTGAAATGTATTTTTTAACTTTTCAGAGAATTATTGTTAACTTTCATCCATATGATAAATATGATATGTGTTTTGACTGTGCTACAAGATTTACATATACTTATCATATCTTGCCCTTGTTTAATTGCCTGTGTCCAAGAATAGTTATATATTTTTATATCTAATTTTGTATTGCATCCATCTTTCATTTTATGATTTTGTGCTCAGCAATTGTAATGTTTATCACGTTTTTTTTCTGGTTATCCAGTCATCAACAGTTTTTGCTTTTGTTTTTTATTTTGTTTTTTTCTGGCTTTGACTTCATCAACAACTATTTGTTAATTGTCCATAGTCGTTTTTTTCTAGTTTTGTCTCGAGTATCAGTTACATTTAAATAAATTTTAAAATGTTGTATAATATAGTATCTATGTACTTTTCTGGTTTTAAATTCAGTTACTTATATTTTCTGTTTTATTTACACTTACATATTATTCTTGTCCTTTAACTGGTTTTTGCGTTCAGCAACAGCTGTATTCAAATTTGTTCTATTTATATACCTACATGTAGATTTTATCTAGTGATTTTCTGGTTTTCCGTTTAACAACACAACTATTCCTTTGTATTCCAATTTATCTTGCTCTCTGTTTTGTTTTGTTTTTGTGTTTTTTTCCATATTAGAATTTAATAAGTGAAATATAATATATATATATAACAGGCACAAAAAGGTATGAAAACTAAAAAGGGCTATTCCAGTAAAAAATAAATGTACACCTAGCCATGTCTGTAATTCCTTTGAAATTGTTAATCTAATTGTGTAAGGATGATATCCATAAAGAAAAAAGTATTTGGATGGGACAGATCTTTGATGGATTAGCCCCATTATAAGGAAGGATAAAATTAGTAACAACATGTATATTGAGAGAGAATATTGATCATGATTGTTTGAAAATTGAAATACATGCATGTCCTATTAACTTCAGGCATATGGAAATTTGGCTGTAAAAGAAAGAAATGGTATGAGATTATAGCAAAGTGTATGTCAAGTTGATTTTATCATTGCTGGTTTGTCTTTATGATTTTTTAATCAAGTGTCAGTGTATTACTTAATTTCAAAATGTGCTTCAACTATGATTTTCTATAGATATATGATTGATCTTCTAATCACGTGTGAAGCTTGTTTCATCTTTACTTAAACAAATTAATCTATGGTTTACAATTTAAAAAGTGATATATTAGCCAAAACTGGATCATGCAAAATAAGAATGAGAGAAAAAAATTGACATCAGATAAGTGCCATGTTATGAAATACAAAAATACAAGAACAGTTGCTAATTGTGTGAATACAAATGTTAAAATAATTTTCTTACACTTTTCAATGTGTTTGAAATATGACTGAAAATTGCATATGATATTTGTTTATAGCATGGACAGTAAAATGTGAAAAATTTACTCTTTGTTTTGTACAGGTACATCATACAGAAACATTTCCAGTAGTACAAATTAGTTTAGCAATGAGGATTAGCATAGTTTTTTTTTTTTCTATTTTTTTCACATTTGCATAAATATTCTGTTCTTGTCAGATCCAAGTGGGGTCAGGTTTTTATTAAATTGTTGTTAAAGTTTGTGATATTAATTTTTTTGTTACTTGTGTTAAGCTTTTTTTAGAAAAAAAAATTCAACAAAAAGCATGTTAGATACATGCAGATGTCATCATTAAACTTCATCATGTGTAAAAGTTCTAATCAGAAATGTGGTTAACTCCCCTCTTTTGATGCTACCAGGTCAGTTATTAGTAGTATGCTTTAGTCCCCTGCAGGTGAAACTGCAGGGGATTGTAGTGTTTGTCTTTGTCCGTCCATTTACACCTTTTCTTGTGTATACTGACAATGTAACTAGAATGATTAAATTTACCCTTAAAGGTCAGACACAATGCTGGGCATCCTTCCTGACAAGACACAGGTTTTTGGAGGGAAGACTTTCAATTGTTAAAATGAGACACCTGTTCATTGCTATCAAGGTCCATATTGCTTAGAAAATTTAATAACAGCAGGGGACGAGTGTTGCATGCAACACTAACTGTAAGCTTGCTTATTCCATGTTCCACTCAAACAAAAAGACTCTTTTTCCAGTTATACACAAAGCTGCTCATGGCTGAAAAAGAATTATGGCAATTTTTCATAACATTTTCTTATACCGGAAAAAGTTGTTTTAAGGTTTCATAATAATGATCTCTCTGACTTTTCCTTTTATGCATGTGAGTCAAAGTCACTTGCTTGAACTTTGATAAATCCCCAGCCAGTTGCAAGATAAGTATCAATAATGTAAGACTGTATTGAGAATCACTTTTGAGAATCTAAGACTGTAATGAGAATCCAGGACTTTTGGTTCATAAGAACACATAGCAAAGTAAACAAAGGATTAGAAGTACGGTAAGTTCTAGAAATAGACTGTTACAATTTTTGGTTCCTCAGGAAACTCTTGTCATACATCAGAATTCTAGCTACCAAAAACTTAAACCATGAGTTTGCAAACTTGTGTAAACAAGGGACCAAAGCAAATGTGGCTGTTTGATTTCAGTGAATTAAGAAATAACTTTAACATTTAATAGTCCTCAATATTTTTAATCTGTTTATCAAATAAAACTAATAAAAACATATCTTATTTTACAACAAATGTATCATACACATTCTGTTAAATAAAGACATTACCTGGTTTTGATTACCCAAACAACAATATTGACCCTCTTATCAAATAAATATTTAGAAAATTATACAATAAATTACTTTCTATAAGTCAGAAGTTGACTGAAAAAAGAAGATTAGCACAAATGGAATGGCATTTACGAACAATCAACATTATC